GAAAATAAGCCCTCCCTGAAAATATTGCAACACAGCAGCAGCCATGAGGTGACCACGCTCGGCGCCTCCTGCACCTCAAAAACAATAAGACCTCCCGGAAAATAAGGCCAAGCGCTTATTTCGGTGGGCCGAAAGAAAATAAGACCCTGTCTTATTTTCAGAAAAACACAGTATATTATATTTTAATATTTATTGTTATCTTGTGCCATTGTTGTTAGATTTTACTTCTTGGTCCTGGGGTAACTCTCAGCCATGCCTCCTTATGTTTTGTCTTATGTTTTGTCTTGCACTCCCCTTCCCATGAATTGTAAGCCGCCCTGAGTCCCCTCAGGGAAAAGGGCAGCCTATAAATCACAAATAAAATCTAAAAATAAAATAAAAAAATCTCCTGTCAGCCTTTGGCATCTTCTCTCCTTTTATGTAGGTGAAGACACGAGATGAGGGGAAACGGTCCCCTTCTCCTTACCTGGCCTTACCACATAATGCCCAGTAGCCGTGCTGAAAATAATATTTCCTGTCCCTGCCCTGCTATTTTGTGGCTAGAAAGAAAAAGACTATCATACTGTATGACCAGAGAATATAGTTTTTGTAGCCCAGTAAGTGGAACTAATCTTTGGCTGATGTTCATAATTCATTCTGCAGAAAAGTCCAGTATAAAGACCGTGTTCATAGAAAAATGTTTTAAAGAAAGATGGAAACTGTAAATCCAATGTTATCGAGAACAATGTTTTCAGTTTCCAGAATTAACCCAGTCTTCGGAATGAGTTTTTAAATAAACTTGTGGGCCTTTTCTCCAAACAGCCTTTGACATTGTAGGGAATTATGGGCAACGTTTTGGAGACCGACCTAAATGGCGGGAAAGGTTCGCATTTCACCTGGGCTCTTGTGTTTTGATGCCCGCAGGTTGAAAAAGAGGATTTGCAGGCTGCCATCCTAGCAGCAGTCACAGCCGAAAGGGAAAACATGAAAAAACTGCATGACCAAGAAAAAGAATTATGGCAAGCAGAGAGAAATAAAGATCGAGAGAAGATTGCCCAAGCGGTAGAAGAAGCAGCGGGACGGCAAAAGCAGAGTTCAGAAGTTAGTGGATTTTATGTTCTGGGTTATCACTCGCTATATATTGTATGTGGTGTGTTTCGGGTTTGTCCAAATTCCTATGCAGAGGAAGGGAGGAACAGATGGGTAGCTAAGTCCCAGAAGTTTGGTGCTCCTGACCAGTGGTGAAATTCAATTTTTTTTTACTACCGGTTCTGTAGGCATGTGGGCATGGCAGGGGAAGGATGCTGCAAAATCTCCATTATCTCCCCGCTCCAGGGGAAGGATACTGCAAAATCTCCATTCTCTCCCCGCTCCAGGGG